AAGAGAAGCAGAAGAACCAGCTAAGGTTCTATTTCATCAATTCAGGTGATAAGTCATGGTGATGTGGACTCAGACAGAGGATATGGAGAAGACTAAATGGAGTCAAGGATATATTATAGTGGCAAAAGTAATAGGATTTGCTAATAAATAAGATGTGGGAGAGAAAAATTCAGGATTGACAATTGGATATTTGGCTCAGATAAATGGGGGGATGATGGTACAGTATACTGTGCTGGGCACAATTTTACTACAATTTTTGGGGGGAGGGGAGTTAAGCAAATTAAACTAAAAAGTAATCTGAAATGTTCCTTTTATATTAAAATATAGTAATCCACTACTTTGATTGTTATTGCCCCTGCCCTACTCAACTCTTCACAGCTTAAGTGTGAAGGTCACTGTTTACATGTCAATTTCTCAGGGAGGAATTCCCTGAACACCCCAGATGATGCAGTGAGCGCCCCTGCATCCTGTTATTCTCTCTCTCAGCCTGTTATGTTTACTCTCCCTCTAGAACATAAGGTCCCCTTCAGTAAGGGCCCTGTCTACCAGCTGCACCAGTGTGTCCTTGAACCCAGCACAGGTCTGACACCGGGGGGGCACATGGTAAGTGAATGTACAACATGGCTACAAATACATCATAAATCAACATTTACATTTTACATGAATTATAAAGATCCAACTTAAGCATCCAATGATGCCATTATTAGCTGTTCCTCAGACCAGAGCCCCACATGCTGTGGAACATGCTTGCTCTTCCCTCTGCTCCTACTAGGGACTTCAGGGACTAATGCTTAACAAGTCCCAGACTAGACACACTGGTGACACTCTAGGGATCTTGTTGAAAACAAAGTAAATTAGCAAGCAATAAGGTGCTCTGTGACTTCAGAGAGTTAAAAAGGCTAAAAGTGAGGGAGTCAAGGCTAACAATTTTCTTTCCATTTCTAGGTGAAATTTTACAAGAGAGGCAGAAATGACTGTCACTAGGCTTATTATCAATATTGTAACAACTTTTTATAAGAATCTTCTGACTAATAAAAATTTGTCTTTCATATTAAAAGGCAAGAATAAATAGAGGCAAACAAAAATTAATATGTTTCTGTTCAATCTTTCCACAGACAACACAGAAAAACACCTCTATTTCACAATGAGAACAAATACTGAAACAGCTATGCAGAAAACTTATGCCTGGTAAATCCCACCTTGATACCTTCTCTCTTTTGTAGATCAAGAGGCACCAATATTTCTGTGTCAATGTTAAAAACTGGCATTGATCTGCCTCCATTTCTCAACAGTGTCTCCATCATACCCAACATCATATTTGGGTAAAGGTTGGTGGTTAACAGCATTTTTAAACAACAACAACGAAATACTAAGAAGCACAGAAGGTCATTGATTTTTTTAGGGTAACCTTGACAGAGGGAATGCTTGATGAACTAAGGCCTTTATTCACTAAATAACAGGTTAGTATATTTTACTGGCTAAATCAAGGGACCTGACAGGCTACTCTTCACTGTGTCAAAAATAAATAAATAATAATAAGTAAATAAATAAATAAATAAGTAAATACGACAGCCACCCAACTGTTAACATTAGTAAAGAGGCTTCATCTAATTCTTCTAAAACTGGATTCTTCAATTACAATTTTCTTAACCAATGGGGACTTTCTGCCAATGCAAGTAGATTCCAAATGTCAAGTAGATCTGTAATAAAATGAAAAGCTGAAGAGAAACTTTAAAAGAAACATTTAAAAATAGGCTTAAAAAATGGACCTTAGCAGACAACCAACTAGAACATACTGTGAAAGGACTACTATAGTTTTGTAAGTGAACATTAACAGAAAAAAGCTCCTGCAATGTTCATAAATAGTTATGACTTGATGAAATAATTACAAATAATGTAAGTCAAAATTTTAGATCAGTTACAAGTGTCTGTAATGAAATTCTATTCTAAAAGGCAAAATGATTTTGAAATCCTAAGGGTTTCCATTGACAAAGGTATTTACCTACACAAATAATTCTTTTGCTCATGTAAACATCTACTACCTTCTGATTTTTCCCAAATGAAAACTGGGAAGGGAGTGCCAGAGGGAAGGACAACAGAGTATTTAAACATTAGGACTGCCATTAAGCCTACATTTTTATTTAGTAATGAAATCATTTAAGTACTAAATTTATTATGACTATTAAATGAAGAGTTGTATAGTCGGTTTGGAAAAAAGATTAAGAGAAGTTTAATGTTTGTGGGTAAAGAACAGAAGAGTACTATCAGTTTATCAAAGGATTTCTGAAATCTTGTTCTAGTACAACCTATCTCTAATTAATAGTGTGAAAAATATTGACTCTTTGTATTAATCTGAAGTAGTATTTCCCCCCTTCTCACTTAAGTTAAAATAAGAGAAGCAAAGATATGCACTGTTCTACACTCATCAGGTAAAAGTTGTCTGAAGAGAGGGCTGATCACTCTAAATCTGTTCCAGACATGGGTCATGGTAGGCATCTTCTTGCAAAGACGGAGCAGGTCACTGTGGTAGAAGGTGGTAGAGGGTCAGAAAGCGCAGGATAAGTGTCTCTCACCTGACATCTCTTCCCATCAAGTTCACGTGTCACAATCAGTAAGTAATAAACTATTTCAGAGCCAAGTGTGAGCAACAACAAATTTTTGTATAGTAAATGTACTTGTGTTTCCTTCTATGACAAGAGGATTTTCCTCTTTTCATTAATCATACTCCAAAGACATCCGTGCCACAATACAAAGTTCAAAAACACAAAATGTACCATGCCTTCACCATGCTAACTTTAAACAAACATCTCTGACAAACTAAAGATCTTTCTATTTCATGAGACCAGACTTAATAAAGCTATAGATAGAACTTCTTACTTTAAAAAGCTTTTTAGATTAAGAAGACAGTAATTTATGTAAATACATCAATCTCAACTGGCTTCTCCAGTATGAAAAGGAATAAATAATGTAGATCACTGTTTTTCAGAAAATAAGTCCTAACTCTTTGCCAAGGATATGGCGAAGACTGTAACAGAAATGGCAGTGATGTGTCCACAAAGGTGAACATAAATAAATATGTGTATGATAAAGGCTAGTGATGAACACAGATAAACAGGTATGCAGTTGAACAGAGATGACTGGAGACAGAAGGAAAGACACTGGCTCAGCTGGCTCCAAATAAGTTCACAGGGGTTTCATGGTCTGAAAAGTCTGTGACAGCAGAATTTCTATTAATAAGGTTAAAAAAGTTCTACCTCCTCTTTGGACAATTCAGAATAATGCCTTCTTGAATGTAATGAATTATATTATAAATACACTTTTATGTAGAAAAAAATTAGAGACAAAACAAGAGAAAAGAACCAGGAACCTAAAGGAGGACGAATGTCTCTGAAATATCTTTGCATATCTGAAGCTGTTTAAAAGCTATTAGATTGGCACCTGAAACCCCAAAATATCTACTATCCCCTGGGAAGCAGTGGTTATGCCTCTTCAATCATTCCCTAAATGCAAAAAAGTTTGACCCCCATGCAATGGATAAAAGTCACCCAAAAAATGAACAAAAGAGGTGTTTGGAAAAACCAGAACACCATTCATCCCAGCTAACGACTTGTTCATTATGAGTGATGATGGATAAAGACTTCTCATGCTGAGATGAAATCAAGATTTATATGCATTGTTTCCTCTCCCAACTTGTGGGAAGATCATCATCATTTAATTCTATCTCTGCGGCCAGTGATGGGCATCCAGAGAGCTGGTTATCAAACGGCGCAGTCAGCTGGCAAAAGCCGAAACGTGCAGTTGGCACATCTGGACGGAGCCGCCACAGCCGAGGGTGAACAATGACTCCTGGCAAGCATCCAAATTGCTTGCAGACGCTAGCAGGTCTCATCTACAACCGCCCCTACCAGCATCTCTCTCTCTCTCTTTTTTATGAGAATCAGATTTTCATTGCTCCATTCAATTGCTCTCCTCTGCCATTTTTTACAGCTCTTATCGTTCCCCTGGAATATGGCCTTGAGACAGCTCATCCGTGTCCTTCACTGTGTTATCTCTTCTAACTTTTATTAAAACTTCAGCTTTCATCTGAAGATAGCTAATTAAATCTGGAACAGATTATATGCCTCCTCTTAAAAAAAAAAACACAAAACTATTTTCTTCAGCCTAAGCAATGCTTTTTTTCTTTTCCAAAAGGTGAAATCAAAGGTGTTTAAGAAGTCTCTTTATTTACAAAGCTAAGATATTTGACATGTCATGTGTGAGCTGATTTATATTCAAGTTGTCTGTGATATGACAAATCTTTGAGCTATTTCTCAAAATAATTATTTCTCAATACTGGTAATATTTTTCTCTATATCCTATAAATATCACAGCTAATGCAACAAGCTTATTTTCTATATAAAGTTAGGTAATGAGAATTAAGAGATTAATAGGTATTTGTGCACATTAAGTGACACATCTTGTTTTAGTATTTTTTTAAGGTTGCTCTCATTTAGTAAAAAGGAAGAGATTTTTTTCCTTCTTTTTTGTTTTCCATCCCCTAAACATTATAACTAAAAAAGTTATTCCATGGAAAATGTGAAAACATGAAATTAACAGCAATAATTCAAGTTTAGGACTAATTCAGTTTTCAAAACAACTTTACATCAACTAATCATTAGTACAAGTAGCTCTGTCTTAATCTACCACAAATTATTAATGATAGAACTTCCATAACTGATATATATTCCTCTCACATATGCCACTGACCCAGTCACTTCCTGAGGTCTGGGACAGCATAAAACCAGTGTTTTGGGGGTTTTTTTTGCTGTAGATCTGCTAACCAAATCTTCTAGCAATGATATCTGAAACAATCTAGCTAGCCAACCAGCCAGTCAGCCAAACACACACACACACACACACACACACACACACACACACACACACACACACGCACACACACACACGTGTCATTTTAACTAAGAATTAAGCTTCTATTGTGGAGTATGATTTAACTATCCTACCTGAAATTTTCTGGGATCCTTTTCTTCGCTTCACTGCCTTTAGCAAGATTTCCTTCATGGTGACCTTTGTGTTGTCCACCTGAATAAGGGAGAATCCATGAGCAGCATTTCTGTTGGAAAAGACAAATATTAAATCATCACCAACATTCAATTGGAAAGACATTATTATGGTCTTCCCTGTGTTTAAGAAAGTTTTAAAGTAAATGTACACTGAAGTGCCAGTTATTTAAAAACAGGTTGAATAAATCTACTTCTAAAGGGGGAGAGAGAGATAAAAGCATTTTAGTATGAGCAGTTCTAAGTGAAAGAGAAGTCAGGGTTAGGGAAGGAAGTTCTTCTAATTTATCTTAAATAAACCTAATTGATCTGTGTAGGTCATTAGTACCATGGGTTCCTAGTGTAGGCTCCCAAGTAAAATCCTGCAGCATGGATCGACAATTGATAAACTTGGCTTAGTGTCAGCAGATGTCACTTCAGACAGATACTACTATCATAATAAGCTCATGGAACCCCAGACAAAAAAATGCCTTGGGGGCAGGGTGGGAGGGAGAGAAAAGATACCCCAAAGTAATTCAGAAGAAGAAAAGGCTCTTCTTAACTAGCTAGTAATATTATTCTCTCTCTTTCTTTAAAAAAAAATACAGTCTGTGTACATTTAAAGAGCAATGGTTTAATCTATTTAGTCCTAGAAAGCTAAACAAAATATTAGCTGAAGCACAAATAATTATAAGACAAAACACTAACACTATTTGTAAACTTCTAGTCAATCAAATTGGGAGTAGGGAGGGCTTCATCTAGATAGGAAAAAGCAGCTGAAGAACAATACTCTAAAAACAGAAGCCCATCTCCTGTGTGCAATACTCTTAATTGCAATAGCAAGTATCACAAATACTACTCACTACGCTTGGGCACTGGAACAAAACAGGACAATTCCAAGTAGCTCATGTAACAAACAGGACCCAAGCTTCCAACTATGGAACAAGGGAATTGCCACAAGGAGTTTGGTTGCATTCCCACTTCCCTATAAGAATCTCAAAAGGGAGCATGGCCAAAAAGCATGGCAGAACTTCATATTGACAAGGTATTAGAAAGAAAAGCCAAGCCCCAAGCTAAGCCCTGGAAAAGCTTCTCAATGGTAGAACAGGGTGGGAAGGGGCCTTAAGCCTAGGTTGGACCCAACCAGGTGGCTGACTCTCCACAAGGGCTGGGGGCCGAACTCAAAATCAAGGACCTAATTTGCTTCCCTAATATGTCTCCATAACCCTCCTTTCCATACGGCTTGCTGTTTAATCCTTGACATTCCATTTGTTAAAAAGCAAAAGCTGATGCTGGTCTGGCCAGCACAATCATCCATTTTAACTTGGTCAAGTTCTTGCTATTGAACAGCAGGCCTGAGAACTGTCAAGCTAATTTTACTGAACACTCTGTTACTGAATCATGCCTGAGTCTGGGCCATTCTTTACCTCAGAAGCTGGACCCCATCCCAGAACAATTTTTAAAAGTTTATTTTACTGATCAAAGCAAAATAAGGAACAGCTCTTTTTAAAAAACTATATTTAGGGAGTGATGCAGTAAGTGATACTCTGGCAAGAGTACTGAAACGTAAAGTGCCTTGTGCATTTATAAACTTGGGGGTATTTGCTCTGGCGCTAGGCCAGTGTGTGTGTGGAACAAATGCCAATCAACCACGTTCAGATTTGCCTTCCCCTGCTTTCTCCTCAGAAGTCAGTATGCGCTCCATCTGTGACAATATGTTGGGCGATGGATGAGTAGGGCCTGAGAGGGAACATGAGTTCTTGAGTGCTCGCACGCTAGTAACGGCCTAGACCTCATGAACCTTCATCCACCTGGTTCTACCTGAACTATTTTAGATTTCAGACTGCTTATAAATTGCTTACATTCCCTTCTAATCTGATGCTGGCTGATAGCATTATTTTAAGCCAATACGTTTATCTTTTTCAGCAAAGGCAGACTAAATGCTCAAAAGGAAGCCTTGTGTTTGGACTAACTTCCATAAATTAGAAGTGTCCTTTTAAAAGATTTTTGAACAGAGGAAAATCCCCAGTCTGTATTTTTCTGTCATTTTACCAAAACGTACCTGGGTGACAAGGTTAAAGCAAGCAGAGGAAATCCCTGGCACTTATCATCCACAGGCATTACTGATAAATTGTGTGGTGGAGGAATAAAGGATTACCTTCTGTATTTTTTCATTACACTTTTCTTTTGTTACAGAATACATAAATCCATTGTGGCACAATGTAATATGTATCACCATGCTACACCTGCGGACGCTTCCGAGCGGCTGCCATGTCTGTGCAGTCAGGAATGATAAGTGAACCACCCGTGAATGTTAACGATAGTGATCATTCTGAGGTAACTTGGCTCTCCATCTTCCTTTACAGCCTCCGTGCTGAAGCCAGGGTAGCAAGGTTCATGAGAGGAAAATGAAAACAACAGGATGGGAAGGGGCACACGCGGTACTCGAAATGCACCTTCGCAGTGTGCAGTATCTTACTCTGGGGCTCCATTTCGGTAAAAATGTGCACGTTAAAAGGAAAAAGAGGTTCTGCCCTGCGTACTGCACATTCAACCAGATCTAATAAAAGTTTCCTCAGGTCAGTCCTATGCTCTGCTTGTCTCCCTCCAGACGAACACAAACTTTGGCTCATGTTCTACGTCTACAGCACTACAGGGGGGCAGATGGACAGCATTTAGTCTCTTGAGTAATGCACTCATATGTTGCTAAAGCTGGGAGTATAGAATGTACTCAGCATCCACCTAGGCACAACTGTTAAGTTCTGCTCCCATTTAACAAGTGGAAATGGAGACTTGCCACCACAATTTTCAGCTTGACTTCCAAACATTTTGGGTTTTATGCCTCATTTCTTGAGATCCAGCTTTTTTAATGGGCTTTCTGAAAAGTCTATTGAAATACATCTTTTAAAGCCTTTATTAACATGGGGCATTGGGTCTGAGACTGGAAGACAGTGATCTTGGAGGGTATGCTGGGGGCAGGCTGGCAGTGTGCTATCAGTTCCACCTGCCTTCCCTCTAGCACTGCACTCCAGTCCCTGAACTGGGCCCATGCTGGGGGGATGAGCCTTTGGACGCACAGGCGGGCTACATACAGACCCAGAGTCTTGGTTCAGAAACTGCTCTTCCTCCTGCTCCTCTTGTGGATGGCTTGTTTTCCCAAGCACAGGGCATTTTAGGGGCACTGGGAAGAAGCAGCTGCTTTCCCGCAGCTCCTTGGGCTGCCCGTGCTGCATCTAGGAAACTCCACTCCAGGGAGCTGACTAAATGCTGCCAGGAATGCTTCAGTCAATTCAAAGTTGGGTCCTGTCAAGTCTTGTAACCACTGAAAAACGTATGGGCATTTTAAAAAGAGATTACTCACTTGAGGAATTCAGCGCTGTCCCAAAGCAAAGCCACTTGGTTACCATAGAGAAGTTTTTATACCAGCATTAACCCAACACAAACAACACTGCTCTGCTCAGCAGTAAGCCAGAGGTGATGGGAGCCACAGAGGAAACAGGGGCACAGGTCTTCATCTGAAAAGTTTAGATTCTATAGGGGCAGAGCTGGAGCCAGAACTCAAGTTGGAAGGCAGCACGCTGAAGAGGAAAGCACAGGATCTGGGAGTCAGACATCCTTTGACTGAAATTCTAGTTCCACAGCTGAGATGTTGCTTTAACATATTGAAACCTCAGTTGCATCCAAGAAATGAGGCTACTTTCCTACAGAATTGTCACAAGGATAAAGTATACAATGAATGCCAAGCCCCCAGTACTAAGGCTGGCAAGCAGGAAATGCCAAGCACCTAATACTAAGGCTGGCAAGCAGGAAACGGAGCTTAGCAGAGTTAGTTCCCTTTTGTTCCCCCGTCCCAAGTTATCATCCCAAAAGAAGAGGCCCCTATCAGTCCTTCTACTCCCTACCCCCTAAGCAGAGACTGCTTATTTGAGAGAATGGATCTCAGCACTCATTGGCTGTAATTGGCAACACAGGGCCATTAAAATGTGTGATTTGCTGGGCTTGGTAGCAACATTCAGGGACACTGCCAGTGAGCCGCCTCTGGCCCAGGCATCAAAACCTCCCTAGAGTTCCAGAGAGAGCATTCTCAGTTCAGTTTTCAAAGCTTTCCTTTTTGAGAGAGTAAACCATAAAAGCAGGTATGTTCCACCTCAGCTTACTTCACTGGCTTTGGACAGCGACGATGAAAGTAAAAACTCACAGTGGTATGGTAGAGAAAGAAATTCAGCGAGATTTATTAAGAGCCTTTTGCTTTGCATAGTACAAGTTATTCACTGATGAGTAATTACAACAATAACAGCAGCAACTACTATTTATTGAACATGACTATGTGCTAGGTGTTGTTTTTAAGCTTTTTAAAGAAATCTGTACTAACGCATTCAATCCTAAAATAGGTATTATTATTACACCCATTCTATAGAAACTGAGGCTGCAGGCATTGAGGAATCTACCTGAGGTCATACGTCTACTAAAGATCCTATTTTAGTTTCAGAAATGGTCCCTAACCAAGTGGCATAGTCCAGTGGGAGAGAAAGACAAAGAAGCTAACAAAAGATTATAACTCTGTTCAATAAGCACAATGATGAAGGTAAATTTAGAGTGCTGCTGAAATACAGGGGCACTTAACCTGGCCATGAGAGGGGACAGGGTTGGGTAAGCTTCTTAGAGGAGATGATGCCTCAAAATAGAGTCACTGTTTAGCTCTTGACTGTGCTAAGAAAGATGGTGGCAACACCAGAAGGCAGCAGACCCCAGCAAGTTCTAGATTAAAGTGGCCTGGTTTGGAGGCCCAGCTCTGTCTTCCTTGGGTAACAACACAATCACTCCTTTGTTTTCTCATCTAAAAAATGGGGATAATAATTTTTAGACTGTAAAGTTTATGCCGTAGCACCTTCATATAACAAATGCTTAATAAGCAATAGTTAATATATTATAATAACCATGGGCATTTTTCTTCATAGGTACAGAGAAGTGAACGATAATGATGAGACAATGATAATAGTCAACATTTACTGAGCACTTACTTTATTTAATCCTCCCAGAAAAGTTAGGTGCTATTATGAGTCCTATTTTATAA